CAGTGGAGAAATCCGTGCCTACTTCAAAAGAAGTGGTGGTTGATGAACAACAAACTCAACCACAAGGTAATGTATTTTTTTAATGAAACAAATACTTGTCTGATGTGATTGTACTTGTCATCCAACTAATTTTGTACTGCTTATCCAACCCCTTTTTTCCCTTTCAATAGTTATCCATTGTGTTCCTACCGATTATCCAGCCTATTTGAACTGATTATCCACTTCATTTGAACTGGTTATCCAATCTGTCTAATTTGTACTGCTTATCCAACCCCTTTTTTCCCTTTAAATGGTTATCCATTTTGTTCCCGCCGATTATCCGGCCTATTTGAACTGATTATCCACATCGTTTGAACTGGTTATCCAATGTGTCTAATATATATGTATGTTCGTACTGATTATCCAACATTCCAACTTTGTACTGCAGCACATGGAACGAATATCTCCACAACAGAAAAGAAGAGATCCTATCAAGATTCCACCGGCCGGGATTTAGGTGTGACATCCACCTATACCAAAAGGTCGAGAAGCACTGGTACCAGGAAAAGGAAAGTATTCAAAGACCCAACTATCCCACACTTTAACCTGGGTATCTTCTCCAGTCAAGAAGACAGTTACGAGACAACCCAGGAGAAGAACACTCAGGAAGATATCACAGGAAGTGTTGATTTGGATAAAGATGTCAATGCGACTGTAGAAGCAGAAGAATATCCAGTACCATCTGCACTCGACGAAACTAAGAATCCCACTCCTTCCATCGATGAAATCATAAGAAGGGCCAGTGCACCAGCTTCAGAATCATTAAGTGATACCAAAAAACTAGAGATGATTGCGGCCATTGCAGAACAAGTTGAGAAAAACCCAAAGGTGGTTGAAGCAGTCCCTTTAAGCATAATTCCACCCGATTGGAATATTGCTTCTACCACGGGTGGTCTACCACGCCACCGCCTGCAATCTCAAAGAAAGCTGATGTACTTGATGAGGGTTAACAAAGACAGTGGAAAAGTAAGTTTGATCCACTGTGACTCCTCACTACAAAATAGAAAGACGAATTTACATACTAACTCTCTTTTGTTTTGTCCTAGGATCCTCAATGAAAAACCTAAGAGGAGAAATCCACCAAGAGTCCACCGGTTGCCTGAACGGTTCAGGTCGTCGTTCATGCTGCAGAAGAAAAACAAGAAAAAATTCATACAGTTGACAGAGGAGAACAAGAAAATGACCCAAGAAGAAGCCCTGTTGATAGACTTCGCTCTCTTGCAGAGACAAGAAGAAATAGTTAAATCAGGATAAAAGTCACCATCCTTACCCGTGGGATAAGAAACTTACCAGTTTTCCAACTATTTGTCTATTTGACTACTTTTTCTATGCAGGAATTTCTTGTTTGAATTTGGAAAAATTGTTTGGGCAGACAGCACAGCATTCTATTCCATGAGGGAAGGGACATGGATAGAAAACAACATCATAGATGCTTGGGCTGTCATCCTAAACAAAAAAGAAGCTAAGAATGACTCCCCAAGACGGATATTCTTTGGTGTTTCCTCATTTGTAAGTCAACTAAACTTTATGGTTTATCCCGCCCTAGTAAAATACTTGTCACATGTCTGCAAGTTGTTTATCCAAAGGCTTTCTACTAGTTATCCAGCCATAACGGGTGGTTATCCAGAATTTGTAAACTAGTTATCCAGCCATAATGGGTGGTTATCCACAATCTATAAACTAGTTATTCGGCCATAATTGCTTGTTATCCACAATGTGTAAACTAGTTATCCATGCCTTTTTTTTTTAGTTGTGCTTCTATGCGGCTGCTTGTCCATACATTATTTGATGGTTATCCATCATTGTTGTATAACTTACCTACCTATAAGTAATCATCAGGAAGATCACGCATGACCACTAACACTTATTATCCAATTTGTTACTAATGCTTGTCCACCAGAGTTGAACTGGTTATCCATTCATTCTTGTTTGTCATCTAGGGTACTTTTGGTTGACCTTGTACGTGCTTGATTCCGATCATTGTTTTCTACTGCATTTTCCAACCATTGTACTGATCATTGTATCATTTTCCAACCACCTCAAACAATAACGCAGGATACAATCAGTCGATACTACCAACCGGGCAGTAACAAAGACGAATTAGAGTTTACATTCTATGAGAGGTTGGCTATTGAACTAGAAAAATAAGGCCTCAGTGTAGCATCCCTGGTAGCGGCAAAAGCTGTAAGCAACATCTTTCACCTCCTTCACTCTTTCTATAACTGGCTGTTAAAAAATTTTCATATGATTTCCCCCCTCAATGTGAAAAATCAGATCTACTTCCCAGTACACTACCGAAACCATTACTTCTTATATGTGTTGTTGGTTGAAGAAAAGAAAGTGCTTGCATTCAACGATCTTCATGCAAAAGATCTGGACTACTACAAGCCAACAAAAGATGTACTTGTGAGTGAAAAAAAGATACAAAATGATTGCCATACTTTAAGAATTATCCATTGTATTTTGTTGATCCTTGGATTTTATGGCATCACAGTTTCAGTTCTTCCAAATGTTCCTTCGATGCGTTTTTTCACACATAGAACTGGTCACTGCTCAGTACACCTTGACAGAGGTTACGCTACCATCACACAAGGACAAAACGCCGAATGCGGAAGATTGTGGAATATACACAATGCACCACATGGAGCGGTATGATGGTGGTGAGTACGAGGACGGTACTACTTTGGATTTCAACACAGGAAACATCAAAGAGTACCGGTGGAAATACATGTTAAAAATCCTTATGCACCCATCCAACAAAAATAAGGACAAAATCCTCGAAGCAATGCACCAGTTCTATACAAATACTGCTGAAGAAGAACAAAAAGAAATTTCATATCATGTTGATTTGAGCAGCAAATCTTACTACAATGACAGAAATATTTAGGGATGGGTTAAATGAACTGTCATTATGTTCTCTTGTATAATTGATTGACTGTTGATCCTAAAGTGTTTGATATCCAACAGCTGTTTACTGGCCATCCTAGTATATTACCCAACCGTTTGTAATGGTTATCCAGGATCTTTCTACTAGTTATCCAACTTGTTACACCTGATTATACGAATGTTTTATAGTGATTATCCAGTCAAAAAAAAATGCAAGTACATTCTTTAACCTGATTATCCAAAAAGACATAACAGAAGAAAATATCCATAAGAAAATAACAAGACAATGTAATTTGGTTGTCCAAATATTTCTGTAAATTCCCAAACAACAAAAACTGAGTGTCCCAATTTCTTGGTCTTTCTACTTCTTTATTAAACTGCTTATCCTATGATGTTATCCTGCTTATCCAATATTTCTTTGCTGATTATCTAATGCTCTGAATTGATTATCCAGGACTTTTGTACTGGTTATCCAGCGAATGTGCAGCAATATCCAACCATTTGTAATGGTTATCCATGATCATTATACTAGTTATCCATCTTGTTACACCTGATTATCCGAATGTTTTATAGTGATTATCCAGTCAAAAAAAAATGCAAGTACAGTCTTTAACCTAATTATCCATGAGATTATACTTGTTATCTAAAACCTCGATACTGCTTATCCATATGTAACCAATGTCTATCCACCATGTGGACATAACAAAACAAGGATTCAGAGAGGGCTTCCAAAAAGACATAACAAAAGAAAATATCCATAAGAAAATAGCAATCCAAACTGCATATTCATTGGGGGGCTTTGCCCCCATGATAAACTAAATGACTCCCGCGGCTACCAGAATCGCAGGTCACCAACCTGCCCCGGCTGCGCCGCCCCGCCGAACACGCCAATGTAGGTAAGGTAATCCTTTTTTCGTGTGTGTGTAAGGAGAGTATGTGTGTAAGGAGAGTGTGTTATTGCGTTAAGAGGGGATATAAATTACTTGTATAAATCCTCCCGTGATAAACTAAACGACTCAGCTGCGCCAGGGCCTGCGGCTGCGCCGCCTTTCGTGGATGTGCCGCCCCCATGCCGAACATGGCAAATTTCATAAACAACATTTAAAAATGAATGAGGGGAAGTTTGCCAAATGATAGAGAACAAAAAATGAATGAGGGGCAGACCGTCTGACTTAACTCGCGGGCCAAACCCGACCCGGGAACGCGACCCGCTTCAGAATCTCGCCTGAATTCTGGCAAACCTACCCCATTAGTGCGCACGTTTTCCAAACGGCGGCCGGGCAATCATAATAATTATCCCTTAGAATCCGCCCAAAAACGTCATTCAATCATAATTGAGTGTATGGGATAGAGAGAAAGGAAAAGGGTTTTCTTTTTATAATGTACCATTCCTTCATCCATTCACCTACTCTCTCCCTTTTTATGGGTATAAAATTCACTTTGTTTTTATTCTTTATGAAAAATGCTTGTCCATAGTGTCAACACTGGTTATCCAGCTGTTTTAAACTGGTTATCCATAGTGGGAACACTGGTTATCCACTATGTCCATACTTGTTATCCACAGTGTGGAGCATGTTACTGTGTATAACTGAAAAGCCACACGTTTTGTAATTAAATAGAATTTAAAAGATTGAGGGAGTAAAAATAAAAAAAGAAAACTGAAAAGGCTCATGTTTGTGCAGAGTACATCCACCACGATCTAATGGGTAGTTACAGAGCCACACGTTTTTACATGCAATGGATTGAATAAGGAGGATCAGTTACATAACTGTCATTAAATGAGTTTCTTGATTATAACAATGACGGTTAATGAATAGAGAGTGAGAAGACACTGATTTGTGACAAAAGATAGGACTGCATGGGTAGTTAATCCGTCAAACTACCTCTCTATAAACTACCTCATCTTCACATACAGCATTTCTATAGAACTCCCTGACATCTCCACATAGAGCATTTCTATAAAACTCCCTCATCTGCAGATATACCAGAATGCCTGATTTCAGCATCCAAAACATCCAATAGCCAGAAAAAAAATGAAAAACGAGAAAATTTCCTCAAATTCCACAACCAAACAAATGTCCCCCAGCTACCATGAATATATTCATCACGATATGCTTGATAATATGTTCATTAATCTGTCATTGGAAAAGATTGGTGAGTTCCGTCGTGTCAGCAAAGCTTGGGAGGAAATGACGAAAAGACAAGAATTTGTTCTTCAAAAACGTGAGATGAGCTACCCTACAAGTGAAAACAACATCCTTGTTTTCACTCAAACAAGTCAAGAAGGTCACCTGTTGCAAGACAAACTAATCGCCACCAACATAAAAGTGCAAATGGATAACCCATGCAATCACATACGATTGCAAGAAGAGATGTCGATGGGTGACAACGGCATCCATAAAATCATGCCTATCACCACAGATTTGGTTTGTCTGCAAACCAGCTCTCAAATCAAATTCTTGAACCCAAAGACAACACAACTTGCATCAGTTGAATGGCCATATGATGTCCCTCTCAGCAATTGTGAAACAGCATTTGGGTACATATCATCCTCAAAAACTTACGTTTTCATGGCCCTTATTGCCGATGGAAAAAACATGCAAGGCAGCATTTTTTCTTTTCAAAGTTGTTCAAGTATTCATAGAGGAGAATGGAAAACACTTTACAATGTATGTCCTCGCCTTGTATCTGATGGAACCTGGTTTGATAGATTCGTGTACTGGCGTGTAGACAAACTATCCTTTGAAATAACAACACCTCAGGAGTTGCTGGTCGTGTTTGATTACCACACTCAACAATTCCAAACCATAAACTGCCCTCCATCTCGAATCTTCATTAAACCCCACTTATCCTTCTCATATGAATCTCCAAGTGAAAATATTGGACTTCCAAGGGACTATGTGTGTAATAGATGAGTACCACATTACTCAGAATCATCACTGTGAGATGTGGGTATGGGATCCAGATACTTCCATTGCATATTTGAGACCCATGAATTCCCAAATGTGAACACACACGTTCCACACGGATTACATTTCCGTCATGATTGGCTTTATCCAGTGTTTCTAAGCCACAAATCATCTCCAGAGGGACAGTTCATTGTTAAAGGATACGATAATCGACATTTGCTGTTGTATAGTGTTCCTACCAGGAAAATCACACACTCAAGTATATCGCCGGATCTAGAAACCAGTTTCATCATTAGAGCATGTTACTTCTGGGAGACATTAACACACTTTTAGGATTTTTTTTTAAAAAAATATATATTTCCCTTGCTAACTTATTACTGGTTTTCCCAGGACTTTGTACTAATTATCCAGATTATCTATGTTGGTTATCCAATGATATTATTTGTGAAGAAAGCGTGTTCAACGTGTTCATGTCTTTTTTTGTAATATCTATATGCATTTAAAGTTGCATATCCGGTACAGGCGAGTTGGATATCCAGTACAAACGAAATGGATATCCAGTACAAATAAGTTCGATAGGCATACAAACCAAAACGGTGGATATCCATTACAAACAACTTGTATAACCAGTTCAGACTGGTTGGATAATCATCATGAACACAACGGATAACCAATTTAAAATAACCACTTGGATAACCAGTTCAAGCTGCTTTGATAATAGTGCAATTTAAAATAAATAATACTTTTTAAATAAAAATCTTTACACCATCAATACTGTTCATTTCAACATCAAGTTAAAATACTAATAAAACATCTTGTTGAAGAAAAGCTGTGCTCCAGCCTCCCTGGCAGCTTCCCTTCGGTTAGGAAATGAGAACCCACCAAAGTTTTGATTCATGAATGTCATGTTTTGATGAGAAACATTCACAGCAGTGGAAGTGCTTGCGCCTTGAAACTCCTGGCCAGCTCCCTTGGGAATTGGAAATGAGAAACCATCGGAATTTTGGTTGATGAATGGCATTCTTTGATCAGAAGCATTCACAGAAGTGGAAGCCCCTGCCCATGAAAAATCCTGGGCAGCTACGCTTGGATTAGCAAATGAGAATCCACCAGAATTTACGTTCAAAGATGGCATGCTTTGATGGGAAGCATTCACAGCAGCAAAACTTCCTGAGCCTGAATAATCTTGAGCAGCTCCCTTTGGATAAGGAAATGGCATGCTTTGATAATGCATGTCCGATGCAATCAAGCTCTTGTTCGGTCGCAGCAATTCTTGCATTTGTTTTCCGCCTCGACTTTGTTACATGCCTTCTCAACAATGCTTTTAGGACGTTCATTCTTGGGACCAAACTTCTTCCTCTTTACTGACCATGATTCTTTATAACACCATCATTGTCTACAGACTCATCATTATTATTTGAACCAATGAAACTGCCGAGTTCTTCTTTAAGCCTGTCAACTGCCTCGTCACAACATTTCTTTGCATCTTTGTTATATTCACTTGCATACACCAAGTCTGAAAATCATCTCATAATTAGTGCCTTCCACAGCAATGGCCCAACAGCTTTTCCATCTCCCTCATTAGCTATGCTTGACCTGGCACCATAACCTTTTGTCCATCTCATACATATATAATCTTTAGGAAACTCATCAACAGAGGTTACATGACAGATTCGAAGAATGTGGCAACAAAGCATGCCCACCTCAGAGTAGTACCTGCACGTGCATGAGAATCTCTGTAACCTAGTGTCATGTACAACCACATGCTTAAAGTGCTCTATCCCAAACCGCCAAACATTGTACGTCACAATATTGCCATCATTTGAAACTTCTAACTGCTCCTGCCTGCACAACATCCCATCTTTGTGCAACTGCTGAACCTCCCGAAATGCTTCAACTGTGTACACTCTGCGAATTCTCTCCAGGAAAGGGTCACCAGGAAGATATGAATCGATGTTTCCCTGGCTACAGCGTAGATCTTCACCCCTCATAGCTACCTACCAACAGTGTACAACATCAGAGAAAATTCCATGGAAATCACAAAGCGATGATGTGGCCTTCATTTTACGACAAATTGCATTATTTTTTGACTCGCTCCTCTGTGAAGACAAGGTACCACCAGGAAAAACATCTTTGCTAAATGCAGGGCACCATATATGCCTCACATCATAAATACCATTGAGCCATTTGTCATCATGACAATCATACTCATCCAATAATCTGTGCACAACAATATAAAACACATGCATAAAAAGAAAAATAGTTAGAGTATCCATATAGTTATCCAGCCAACAAAGGCTTTCTACTAGTTATCCAGAATGTGTAAACTAGTTATCCAGCCATAATTGCTAGTTATCCAAAATATGTAAACTAGTCATCCGGCCATAATGGGTGGTTATCCACAATCTGTAAACTAGTTATCCATGCCTTTTTTTAGTTGTGCTTCTATGCGGCTTCTTGTCCATACATTATTTTGCTGGTTATCCATCATTGTTGTATAACTTACCTACCTATAAGTAATCATCAGGAAGATCACGCATGACCACTAACACATACCCACACAACAAAAAAAATAAGAGACACTCTTAATTATGGAAATGATCAAAATAATAATAAAAATATTGACAAACTGACCTCCTCCATAATACCTCGAACTCGATTTCTGTTGAAGTGTATTTCATCAGATAATTAAAGTTCTTAACAAAATCTGGCTTGTGCCTTAAATGACCAATTCGCTTTCTTGAATTTTCACCTATGTGCCATACACAGAGACGATGCTGAGAACTTGGAAAACATGTCCGAATATGCAACAATGGAAGGTGCTTGATCTGTCATTATGGTTTGTGGCTGTTTATCTCCCATTGATTTCAAAAACTGCTTGAACAACCAATCAAAAGAGGGTTCTTTCTCATTTAACACAAAACCACAACCAAACATGACATTCTTGTTATGATTATCCATACCCACAAACGGAGCACATATCATTCCATATCTGTTTGTTCAATACGTTGTATCAAACACAAGCAAGTCATCAAACAAATCATAATCCTTTCGCATTCTGCCATCCCTCCAGAAGAAAATACACAGCCTACCCTGCTCATCACAGTCAAAATCAAAGAAGAAATCTTCTTCAGTTTCCTTCCTGTCCCAAAAAATCTTCATGAGCTGATTACACTGGCCACCTTCAAATCCAACACCAGGACGCTCATAATTGTAGGCATCTCTCAAAGTATACTTCATGTTTGGACTTCCCCTGTGTAATTTTGCCAAAGGGATGCCACTCCTTGTCATGTCTCTGATTATCATCATATCATTTTCATCTACTTCACGTTGAGATCGAAGAAGTCCAATCATTTCATTCAGCAAAAGATCATGATTGTGATCAACCAGATGCTTTGTATAGGTCCACAAGCCATCTTTGTCAACAGTAAAATGGATATAAGCTGGACACCCACACCGAAAATTAATCCTCTCATGGCACACATCACCATTTCCACCGGATCTCTTGTATCCTTCGCGGTTACAACAGAATTTCTTCATCCTAACTTTATCAGTCTTACCTCTAAACTTCTGTTTTCCCACTCTCACACTAAAACCAATCAATCGGGCATGATCATTATACAAATCATAAGCTTGTTTCTCACTTCTTGCAGTCTTGCCAACTAAAGTAAAAACAGCCAAATCATTATTCTTCGTCACAGATGAAATTTCCTTGTGCAAGGCATCCTCCTCCACCATCACATTATCAACTCCCAATTCATTGCCGCTATTATCTTCTCCACATTCTGAGAAAAACAAAAGAGATGGTTGGATAACCATTACCATGCAGTCGGATAATCAGTATTAACACAATGGAAAAACAAATCAAAAAAAAAATTTAACACATATAAACAAGTTATAAAACCTACCCTTCATAGCAGATGTAACTTTCATGCGCAAAGCATCATTCAGCATCACATCATCCCCCAACTCATTGATATGGTTATCTTTTACAAAAAATGAGACAAAAAGAAAAACAAATCAGTTGGATATCCAACAAATAAAATTTGGATACGCATGTAAATCAGTTGGATAACCAGTACACATAAGCTGGATATCCAGCGCAAACAAAGTGGGATATCCAGTACAAACATTTTGGATATCCAACACAGCATAACTGCTTATCCACTTCATACAACATTAACAAAAACAGAACTGTGAAAAAACTAGATTGATAATTCTCTCACAAACATTATACTCTGAACTGTGAAAAACACCAATTCAATATAAACAACTCAAAAATGTTGGATATCCAGTACAAATCAGTTGGATATCCAGCAGATAAAATTTGGATATGCATGTAAATCAGTTGGATAACCAGTACACATAAGCTGGATATCCAGCACAAACTAAGTGGATATCCAGTACAAACATTTTGGATATCCAACACAGCATAACTGCTTATCCACTTCATACAACATTAACAAAAATAGAACTGTGAAAAAACTTGATTGATTACAGTACACTCCGAAACCTATACAAACCTGATTCCAGCTGATTTACAACAGAACTGTGACCTTGCGTTGATTTGCTGGCACAGTAAGATTGTTCGATGGATTTTCTACCACTACATTCCGCATTCATCAAGCCGGAATCATCAACGACATAACTCATCACTCGATCTGAACTCAGCATATCGTCGATCCAATCACCGTTTCGTCACTCTGGTGGAATCAGAGCCTTTCCTCGATCGCTGAACGCCGTCGCCGTCTCAACGACTCGATCGCCCCCGGCCGTGTCCACCTCAACGCCTCGATCGCCGACTCCCATTGCCGCCTCAATGCCTCGATCGCCGCCGACCATCGCCCATCAATAATACTCTATCACAAAGTTTTCTAAATTTTAATAAATTCGGTTATTTATATAACCCTGCGTTTAAAAAAAAAAAAAGAAAACTGAATTATAATGGCGGACTAACGCTATTGTAAGAGAGTAAGGTACACGCGCATGGGGGGACACGGTACCCC